TGCACTTAAACAAAAGAGCTTAGTCTCTATGACATTCTGACTTCTCTAGATATGACTTTCTTCTTCAATGCAAGTCTATGGGATTGTTTTTCCCAATGGGACCTGTTTTTATCATCTGCCATATGAAAATAAAAAAATAGCAAGATTCTGATATTACTTAAAAAAGTAGCAAACAAACCACATGGTTTTTGGTACAATTCATGTACCATTATGCAGCATAAGCAATGTAGGACAATGAAACACTTCTGAAATGCTCAAGAAACAATTCTGATTATTATCAATGTTGAGAACAGTTGTGCTGCTTAATTTTATCTGGAAAACGTGATACATTTGAACAGAAAGCTGAAAAGAACAGCATTTATTTGAAATAGAAACCTTTTGTAACACTATACATTTATTTACTATCATTGTTGATCCATTTAATGCATCTTTGCTGAATAAAAGTATTCATTTCTTAATTATTATTATTTTTTTAATTGTAAATGTATTTTCTAATTACCCTGTAAACACAGTAAATGAGCATAATGAAATAATGTAAATTATGTGTTTTTATATCTAGAGGCTAAACAAATGGAAATGAGTGTAGAGAACTGTAGGCGTCCTGTTCCTACAAAATCACACAATACCATATACAGTTGGCAATGCTTTAATGCTTCTTACATTAAGGATGCTTCTCACTTTGGCTCTATAATGGCTGATTTGAATAGCAGTGTTAATCTGAGGTGTAAAATGAGGAGAGGAAGACAATGAGGCTTGTGTTTCTCCAGAGGATATCTGTGCTTGCCAGCAATGACTGCTGCCCTTTCTATTTACCTTTATGAAGGGCTTCACCACAGATCCAACAGGCGACAAAACAGTCTCATGATTAGCCTTTCTCTTTAAGAAGGATAAGAATTTAACGTTTCTGACTCCAATTTGACTTAATGACTGTGGTTCTTTAAAGGGTTAGTTGACTCAAAAATGAAAATTATCCCATAATTTACTCACCCTCAAGCCATCCTTGGTGTATATGACTTTCTTCTTTCAGCCAAACACAATCAGCGATATATATAAAAAATGTCTTGGCTCTTCCATGCTTTATAATGGGAGTGATTAGAGTTTTCCAAAAAAGCACATCCATCCATCCATCCATCCATCCATCCATCATAAAAGTAATCCATATGGCCCCAGTGGGTTAATAAAGACCTTCTTGAAGCGAAGCGATGCGTATTTGTAGAAATACTACGAATAGAACTTTATAAACTTTATAAAAATCACTGGCTTACGGTAACCCGGCGGAAGAGTGACCTCTGACCCGACAAAGAAATATAATTAAATGTAAAAATAACACTATAGTGTTCACTGTATAAATGAAATATAGATTACTCTTTGCTAAAGCTGTGTTTTGTTGTTTGATTAACATTAATGAAAGTAGTAGATAAATACAGAAAGTACAGAAAGTATCAGGTAAATTCGTCTACAGTCACTTTAAGACCTAATGCACGACTCCAATATAATGATACACGTCTGATTACGTAACTGACTGCGTTTACAGTACGTGAATATTAACCAAGGCGGGCATTTGACATAATTTTGTGTGTATGTGTCTATTCAAGTGCAAGAAGATGCGAAAGAGGAATCAAATCTGTGTTTGCGCTGAAACGCACCACTCTTGTTTCGGGTGTGTGAAGCTGTGCGCGAGCACCGGATTGAGTTCTCTTTCGCCTCTTCTTGTGCTGAACAGGTTTAAAACCACTTGAATGTGTAAATTGGTAAGACAAAACACGTGCAAACTATAAACTTTCACTCTATGGTGGTTACATTTTGCAATAAATCCACAAATCACATGAGTGCCAAACTGTGTGGCCTGGTCCATTAAGATCACGGATCAACTACGATCTGTTACACCCCAAATAACTGCACTGGTTTCAGACTAAGTTGTGAACAAATCTCTGCTCTGTGCCTTTCAGGATTAACCCTTAAAGACCTATACCATTTTTGGAGCACCTGCACCGCCTGTTCTTTTCTTTGTTTTTATAACCCATTATAGCAGTCAGCATCAAGTGCCATATATCATTTTAAACAGGAGAACCTGAAGTTTCAATCTATCTCATTTAAATAATCCAATTTTACATTTATTTTGTCTTAGAATGGATGAATTTACCAGAATAAAAAAAAACGGCAGCATATTTTTAGTGATTTTTTTTTTTTACTCAACTCAAACAAATCCTCCCGAAGTTAGTTTTTTTTCTTTAGAAAGCTGTACTTGGATATTCTACATTTCCAGATGTAATTTTGACTACATGTAACAATCTCTTTAAATAAAACGGTAAAATAAAATAAAACTCTTTAAATAAAACGGTAACACTTTGCAATAAGGTTCATTTGTTAACATTAGTTAACTACCTTAGTTAATATGAACTAAAAATGAACAATACTTCTTCAGCATTTATTAATCTTAGTAAATATTAATAATAATTTATTAAAATCAAGGTTGTATTTGTTAACATTAGTTAATGCACTCTGAAATAAGATGAACAAACAATGAACAGCTGTTTTTGTATTAACTAACATTAACAAAGATTAATAAATACTGTAACAAATCTATTGCTCATTGTTACTTTGTGTTAGTTAATACATTAACTAATGTTAACTAATGAACCTTATTGTAAAGTGTTACCAATAAAACTAAAACATTTTTGTTTATTGAAATAAATCGGAAATAAAGTAAAATATAAATGTTAGACAAAAAAACTAAACGAAAATTAGAAAGTATGCTTTGGCAAATAACAAAAAAAGTTTAAGTTGAAGCTGTAAATAAATACAAATTAAAACCGAACTAAAACTAAAACTGAAATAGAAATACATTTAACCTAAATAGCTATATTTAAATAATAATAATGACAATATACAAATGTCAAAAGCACAAAACAAAAATATAAAAATTTAACTAAAACTGAAAAAAAAGAGAAAAAGATGAAAATCAAAGCTAATTCAAAATATTAATAAAGTAAGCAAAATAGGGGTGGACATGACCTTATTTAAATCTTATTTCACATTATTTTATTTCATTTAAAAAAAAAAACATTTTATCTTTGTTTTTAAAAATAAGGACCAAATGCAAAATGTAAATGAAAAAGTTATGTGAAACATCCATCTATCCCTCACTCACTGGCCACTTATAATGTGCACCTTATTATGGCCACACTATTATGCACACCTATTCAATTGCCGTTTAAAGCAAATATGTAATCAGCCAATCACATGGCAGCAACTCAATGGATTTAGGCATGTAGACATGATCAAGATGATCTGCTGAAGTTCAAACTGAACATCAGAATGGGGTTACAACCGAGGTCTGCAGAAGAGCGTCTTTGAACGGACAACACGTTGAACCTTGAAGCAGATGAGCTACAGCAGCAGAAGACACACCGGTGCCAGTCCTGTCAGATAAGAACAGGAACCTGAGGCTACAATTTGCACAAGCTCGCCAAAATTGGACAATAGAAGATTGCGGCAACGTTGCCTGGTCTGATGAGTCTTGATTTCTGCTGCGACATTCCTACCAATTGAGCATCAATTAAACTCCTTGAGTCTACCTGACTATTGGTGCTGACCATGTCCTTTATGACCACAGTGAAACTATCTTCTGACGACAAGGAGTTCACTTTACTCAAATGGCATCTACAGTCAGATCTCAATCCAATAGAGCAGCTTTAGGATGCGGTGAAACGGAGATTCACATCATGGATGTGCAGCCGACAAATCTGCAGCAACTGTGTGATGCTATAATGTCAATATGGACCAAAATCTCTGAGGAATGTTTCCAGCACCTTGATGAATCTATGCCACGAAAAATGAATGGCTCGTCTCCACCGAGCGGTACAGTACGATTTGGGGCGGTAAACCCTGATCTGGCTCGTGTTTCCACCGCCAACATTACCGAAAGTAACGATCGACGTCATTCTCTCGCGAAGAAGAAAGCGACACAGTAATCAACAATGGAGGAAATATAGCAGGTCTTGCTCTTGCTTCTCGGTGTGGCTGCTCGTCACAAGACAAAAAAAAACATTGTGTTTTTCAACTGTATATTAAAAATGTCTCCTCCTGTGATGTCATTTCACTAACACGCACAAGTGACGATTCTCTGTCAACCAATCAACTCTGCAGCGAGTCTAGCTCCACCCTTTATGTACCGAACTACTGTGCTAGATACCCCAACAGAAGGGTCCCAAAAAAGTGGTATGGTTTGGTTTTTTGGTACCATTCACAACTTCTGACAATCGAAACGGAAATAATTGCGTATTGTACTGTACCGTACCGCTCGGTGGAAACGAGCCATTAGGCAGTTCTGAAGGCAAAAGGGGGTCCAACCCGGTACTAATAAAATTGCCGGTGGGAGTATGTACTGGCTATAGTTTTTTTTTTGCTGTAGGTTAATAATCAACAGAGGGCATCAATATCCAATATTAAGTTAAAAAAATTGAGAAGAAATCACAGGAGTTCTTGTCTCTTGTAACAGAAAGATAATAGCAATAGAAAATACAGCAATACAGCAAAAAAATAAAAATAAGAAAGAAACGCTTTCATTGCAGTGTTTTGCACTTAAGGCCACAAAGGTACAGAGGTAACGTGTGAGAAACAGCATTAGAAACGGGAAAAAAGGAGAGAGAGTGTAAGAGAGATTGCTTGTAGCATATTGCTGGAGGGACAAAGCCGGTCTAGTCTGAATACTAAGCAAAACAGACAGCAGCAGATGCTAGCAGCAGTCTGTTGTCAGGGGAAATGCCTCCCACACGACAACAGAGAAAAGAGCACAGGCAAACACAGGCCAAAGGAATCCCCTTAGAGCACATCATACCCTATTACAGAGGACTGGGCAAAATCACTCACTTTATAGAACTTTATAGACCCTATAAAAGGCGGGAAGAGTTTTATGAAGTAGCTCACTATTCTCAAAATACTTGGAGATTTGCATTTGTCTCACATGCTCATTCCTGAGGCGGGTTCTTGCTTCTTACCTTGGCTTTGTTGATAGTGCAGTGCAGAGCATTGTTCTCCTGATCATACAGAAGGCTGAAGTCCAGAGTGCCGAGCGTAGCTGCGAGGAAACAGACATAAAAACATCAACAAAACAGTTCATCTACAGGGCACACCACAGCACATACTGTATGCAATAGCAATTAGCAAGCTGTTCAAACCATATTTTGCTCCTCCAGAGACCATCTGATGTCAACTGTACACAAAAAGGCAAAGAGCTTTCTCAATCTGGCAAGCTTTAATTTGAATTTGATTGGCAATCAGGGCTGCACATGTTTTTACAAGGTACCAAAATGCTACAATGAGCACTTCTGATCTGTTGAGTTTTGTTTGAGGTACTTAATAGTAATTAGTAATTGAACTAGATATCAACAAGCAGAACTGTAAATTTAACTTTGAGTTACACTACCGTTGAAAGGTTTGGGGTCAGTAAGATTAAAAATACTTTTATATCAAAAGTGACAGTAAAGACATTTATAATTTTGGTAACACTTTACTTGAAGGGGTGTGCATAAGACTAACATGACACCTTCATAATCATGACATGACACATGTTATGAATATGAAGGAAGTTTTATGCATGTTTGTGACATCTGTCATTAAGTGTCATTCGCTCAGTTATGACATTTTTAATGCAAATATGACATTGTTTGAGATGTCTTTGTTATGACACCTTGACATAAACCAATACATCATAACCTGTCAGTGTCTTTGTCATGACAACTTGACATTACTAAGACAACACAACCTGTCATAAACATGACATAGCAGATTAATTATCAAACTTAAGAAACCACTTAGCTTTATTGGTTAACATTACATTAAACTGTCAGGTGGTTGGTTTTGACATTGGCTGTCATGAGGCCATTATAACTGTAGTTGAGGTCACGAAAAATATTCATGACACAGTTATAATGGACTGATGGCAGCCAATGTCAAAACCAACCACATGACAGTTTAACTTAATTTAATGTCAAGTTGTCATGACAAAGACACTGACAGGTTATGATGTTATGGTTTATGTCAAGGTGTCATAACAAAGACATCTTAAACAATGTCATATTTGCATTCAAAATGTCATTATTGAGCGAAAGACACTTAATGACAGTTGTCATAAACATGCATAAACCCTACTTCATATTCATGACATTTGTCATGTCATGGTTATGAAGGTGTCATGTCAGTCTTATGCACACCCCTTCAAGTAAAGTGTTACCATAATGGTACCAAAAAAATCAAAGAATCCTGAAAAAGTGTTTCATAGTTTCCACAAAAACATTAAGCTGCACAATGGGTTTAAGCATTCATATTAATAAGAAATGTTTCTTGAGCAGCAAATCAGCATATTAAATCATGTGACACTGAAGACTGGAGTAATGATGCTGAAAATTCAGCTGTCATCACAAGAATAATTATATTTTTAAAATATTTAAATAAAAAAACTTTTTCTGTAGTTTTTATCAAATAAATTCCGCCATAGTAAGCACACGAGACTTTCCCCCCAAACACATACAAAAAGACCTCAAGCTTTTGAACGATAATGTGTCTGTGAAATTGGTTTGGTTGAAAAGAAACATTTTCCACTAATTTCAGTGTCAGAACAACAGCAGTTCAGCAACATTATCTGAATTAACTTTAATGCTCACCAGTCCATGGTTATACCAATGATTTCAAATTGACCTAGCCCTAAAACAATACAAACTGTCCATTTTGAAAGACATTCTGATGATCTTTTCCTACTTAAGTGACTATTCTTCACCAGAATGAGCTGCAAAGTAGATTTGATTGCGACAGTCAAACGTCCTGTTATTTGAAACTAAAAAGGCTGTGATTTCCTGCAATTGAGTGAGATACAAAGAAAAAGGATGAGAGAAATTTTCCTTTTCTCTTTTGAATTTTTGGACCTTTCCTATTCCCACTAAGTGTAAAATCAATACTCCAGTAGGGTCACGGCTCTGAAAGTGAACCTCCCTGCTGATTCTGCCTCGTATGAATGCGGTCATGAGAATCTGAGTCACATCTCATATGGACTCCTAGCGGGTGGCCTTCAGCTCCATTCTGCAGAGAGCATCTTGAGTTCAAGGGCATTAGACTAGGGATGTCACCATCATGTTTTTGTGCTCCCAATCAGAGTAATTGAGGAGAATAATTGCAAAAAAAAAAAAAAAAAAGCCGAGATAAGGTTAGAAAGCATGAGGCACGTGGTGTCTGAAATCAGATGCAAACCATGGCGCAACAACGTCTCAGATAGTCTGATGGCAGATAAAAATAATTACTTTCGAGTGATTCGTTACAAAAGTGCGCATCAAATATGCTAAACACGGAAACCTGGTTGTGTATGTGACTCACTAGAACAGACCTCTTTCACGCACTCACATTTGAGTTTCTCATTCCTTTTAATGGCAGATGACAAACACATGTGAAGGTTCAAACCGCCACCTACTGCCTGCGTGACAGCTGATGTAAAATAAAGGACTGGGCCGATACCGATCAGTTAGAAAAATGCTAAATCAGCCCCGATATTGATCCTTGACATCCCTACATTAGACATACTGGAGTAATCAACTATCCTTACCCAGTTATATCCTCAGCAAAATATAAGAATAACTGAGGGGGAAAAAATGTGATCTAACTTGTTTAAAATAACATTAGATTGAGGGCACTAAGCTACTTGTGGTAGAATTTTCCCTTACGCACCTGACTTAAAGTCCCTGTAAAGTAAAAATTAAGTATGTGTTCTGAGTTTGTCACACCACAGAAAAATGTGTTATTAGCCACCCAAACAAATTTGAATGATAAAAAAAGCCGGCAAGTACATAAAATAAGCTATCAAAATCTTGAAAAAATGAGCAGTATTCTCTGCTCTCAAACGCTAGGGGCGTGACCGTTGGCTGCGCTGAAACCACGCCCACTCGCGGGAAAGCTGCCGACGGTGATATTTGTGATACTGCTTTCGGGACGGGGAGATGAAGGCCGAGGCGGGAGATAGTCGGTTCGGCCCCATTCACCAGTAACAGCGGATTATCAGTTTATCCCAGTTGTCTCCGACGAAAGTTTATAAAACTATCCCGTGTAAAATGATCACTACAGAGGCGGGTGTTGGCGGTGATCCTCAGCTCTCCATCAAGGTGGCTCTTCACAACATTAATCCACCTCTTCTTGATGTGATCGTTTTTAGGAAATTTAAATAAAGACACCGATCTGTTTTGTACATGATCGCATCCAGGTAGTAGCCTACGCATTTCCGTGTCGAAGGCATAGCTAGCTAGCAAACTGTAGGCTGTAACTAATAGTACTGACAGTAAGTCGCGATTGAGTGGCCTCAGTGCGTCATCAAGTAGGGGCGTGTCCAGGAGCTCAGGGGCTCCAGTGCGTCATCGAGCCCCGTTTTAGCCCCGCCCAAAAAATCTGGAAAATAGCAATGGTGAAAAACTGTTTAACGGTCTAACTCCACAATTCAGTAATTCACAGTTCACAGTCTTTGTAATATGTTTTAGCAATACATTTCTAACATTTCTAATGGGTTTAGCCTTTTTTTTTAGAATTGCCTTTACAGGGACTTTAAGTTTACCTGGGGCGTTTCCAGTCGACACCATAGAGTCTACAGTCGACACTTAAAAGTGCTGAAAATGAAGTTTTTAATGTTGTCTATGTGGTGATTTTAATGTGCTTCATAAGTCAACACCATTGCTCAGTATTTTCTCCTGAAAACTGCAGTGAACCAAAGACAGTCTCAAAAACACGGTTTGAAATCGCTGGTGTTTCTGACGTCACAAACTACCTTGTAACCAATCACGTCAACGTGTGATCATCAACGAATGGATCTCTGAGCTGAAGTGAGTGAGTGGAGGCGGGGCTAATTTGCATATTCATAGAACCATGTAAACTAAATGAGGCAAGGGTGTAGAGTTACATTCAAGCTATTTTAAAGTCCCTGTAAAGGCAATTTCAAAAAAAAATTCTAAACACATTATAAATGTTAGAAATGTATTGCTAAAACATATTACAAAGACTGTGAACTGTGAATTACTGAATTGTGGAGTTAGACCGTTAAACAGTTTTTCACCATTGCTATTTTCAGGATTTTCTGGGCAGGGCTAAAACAGGGCTCGATGACGCACTGGAGCCCCTGAGCTCCTGGACACGCCCCTACTTGATGACGCACTGGAGCCCCTGAGGCTGGCCGCTCCTAACAATATTATAGAGCACATTCACATCAGTTTGCCGCTCAATCGCGAGTTACTGTCAGTTCTATTATTAGTAACACAGCCTACAGATTGCTAGCTACTAGCTATGCCTTCGTCACGGAAATGCGTACTACCTGGATGCGATCACCGGATCACGTACAAAACAGATCGGTGTCCTTGTTTAAATTTCCGAAAAACGATTACATCAAGAAGAAGAAGTGGATTAATTTTGTGAAGAGCCAACCTTGATGGAGAGCTGAGGATCACCGCCAAAACCCGCCTCTGTAAGTAATCATTTTACACGGGATAGTTTTATAAACTTTCGTCGGAGACAACTGAGACATTCACTGATAATCCGCTGTTACTGGTGAACGGGGCCGAACCGACTCCCGCCTCAGCCTTCATCCTCCCGTCGCGCGGACAACTGGTGCCATTCGGCAGTGCGTGCCCACCGTGCGAGCATCCATTCCGGCTGTAGAGTGTGGCGAGTCGACGACGGCAGCTTTCCCGCGAGTGGGCGTGGTTTCAGCGCAGCCAGCAGACACACCCCCAGCGTTTGAGAGCAGAGATTACTGCTCATTTTTTCAAGATTTTGATAGCTTATTTTATGTACTTGCTGGCTTTTTTTATAATTCAAATTTGGCTGGGTGGCTAATAACACATTTTTCTGTGGTGTGACAAACTCAAAACACATACTTAATTTTGACTTTACAGGGACTTTAAGGATTTTTTTCAAGGAAAAAACGTTTAAATGTCATTTTGGTGATCAAAGGTGAGTTTTAAGGGATACAATCATTGACTACAGGGGGACTTTAATAATATTTCTACAGCACTGCGTCTACAGTCGACAACTGGCTTCAAGTTGGTTGATGTC